AATAAAGTTTTAAGTTTTAAGATTTTCACACAATTCTAAGAAAGTGAAAACATTTTTTCAGCTTTATTTTCACCTTAGTCTGTATTAGATGTCTAAAGCTAAGTCTGATATGAAAATGAAACCCTTTGAGCAATGTTTAGTGTTCCAAACTTTGTTGGGAAAAACGACTGTCACAGCGTCACGACGATAAAACACAATTATTGAGGGATGGAAAGCTCTTTGGAAAGATTCTTTTTTAACAATCAGTAGTTCGTTCAGTCCTCTACAAACTTTGCTCGAGACGCTTTTTATTAGCTCTTCTAAATTCGTAGTAAATTAGCTTTTGATGAGAAACACTTCGAATTTAGGGCCTTTTTTGTCACAGCGTCACGCGCCGAGAAACGCTTCTAAACGTTTGAGTCCTTAACCACATACCTTCATTTTTATACCAAAAGTAGAGTATGGCGAACTGCGTCGAACGGCGCAAGAACGACGGTTCTAATTTATACACTTTTTGAGAAAAGCTCAAATTACTGTGTCAAACATGTCACATCGTCACACTTGGACAAGCCGTAGATATGATCGTGCAGCCTTAAAAAACTAAAGGAAGAAAATAAGTATACCTAGAAAGAAACATTAGTCTGTGTGTACACTAGAGCCCTACGGGATCATCCCGATCCCTCTGGACAGACGTCTGGACTGGAGGAAAAAGATTTACGGGATCGGGATAGGGTTTTACTCTACGAGACGGGATCGGGACGAAAAAACTCAATCCTGCAGGGCTCTAGTGCGCACCCTACCGATATTTGTCATCCAGTGGACAATATAAAATCGAATAATGGTTTTACGTTGCAGAGGAAAAGCTACTGTTGCTGCAGCCATACCATTTATTGCGTTCATATGTCTTGGTCTACTGTTTTTGACAATTGCAACTGCTATAATTGTTTCATTAATACCCATCTATTTAAATAAACCTACAACAGCACCAAAACGTAAGATATTCTTCATTACTACTCTTCAACCATTTATTTTCTATATTTTTTTAAGTATCTCAAAGTCAACTGGCATTAATAACATTTTATATTGATGCCGTTGGTGATAATACTTTACCAGCTGGTGCCATTCTTTCTGCCGATGCTTTACAGGCTATTCGAGCAAGAGTAAGAATCTATATAAGAGACAAAATTTAGAGAAAAATGGTTTTTGCGTCTTTCATAGATTTTATTATTCTTACCTGCCAACTATATATCAGATGTCAATGTAACACGTGCAGAAACTGCCCTTGTAAATTCACCTGGTGGTACTGGTAGTCGTCGTCGACGGCAGTAAGTATGTCAAATCTCTTATTTTGTGTGTCAGACACCTGGCAGTCACAGAATGAGAGCCACGACTATCAGTGCTCAATAATTATCTCAGATTTTTCCAAAATATCCTCATGTTGTAGAGCATATTGAGTTAGCTATAAATGCAAATTTTAACTTTTCCAGACGTGAAAGTTTTCCTTAGGGTCCGACGATAAAAAAAGTGTTCCGAGAAAATGTGGGAGTAAAATTAAAATATTCATTTCTCGATGACGATAAGAGATTTAGTCTAGATTTGTGCACCGCAGACACTAGACAATGTCCTGTATCTACTGACGGTC